CCACCATCTGCTCTTCTCATTACTAAAAGAGCCAACTCTGTCCGGTCAATAAGATAAGGCCAAAATAACTCACCAACTGGAAAACATAATTAAATCCTAAACAATGAGTCTCTTGTAAATAGTACAGTTGACTGCGTAGTAAAATGTAATCTTCAAAAGCAGAAAAGCTACCAAGTCACTCAACCCCCCCCCCCACACATTTTTTATTGGCTAATCCAATCGAAAGTTATGACATTGACATTGAAAGCAAGACGTGGTTTTGGAAAGATTACATAAAGAATTACCATAAAACAATGTCTCATTTATGGTTCGAATAGAAAGTCAAATAAATTTGTACCTTCGAAAGTCTCTTAATTAACACAGTTATGTATATATATATATATATATATATATATATATATATATATATACCACCAATTGTTAATGTCATAGTTGCTATTGCTGTTGACTTACCAAGAGTGCCTGTTAGGTAGAAAGATCACTCAATTTCTACCCTAGATCAAAATACAAGCAGTCAAATCAATTTAATGGTAAAAGATCGATGTGCAGACTAACGGAAACTTCAACGGAGATTGACAAGCGAAACGAATTAAAAGGCCCTACCTCAATAAGCACGCATTGCATAATGTATAGGTAAACACGAGTGGAGTAAAAGCAAGAAAGAAGTAATGCAAACTGTGGAAAAAACTCAAATTGATTCAGATCCAGGACATGGAATCGCATTATCATCAGGTACTATTAGTTCTACTCGTCTGCGAAGGCAGCGGTAACAGTTTTGCACTGATCAAAGGGGGGGGGAATAAGTGGTGGAATTCGAGTGCCTCACTTGGGATACTTCAACAGGAGAGTTTGAAGGTGCAATTTCCACAAAAAACAGAGATCAAATGCATAGGTCAAATACAGAACCAGTTTCTCTAAGACGCAACTACTGTTGACAGTCGTTAACTTAAGAGAAGAGGGGAAACAAAGATAGAATGTAGACTCACTTAGGAGTAAGATCCACCAGCACTTCTCCCAGCTTGAAACCTTTCTCCTCCAGATCATCAACCACCTCATAGACCACACTGCTAGGAATACCCAACTGGGCTGAGAATCCCTGACCATGGGGAAGTCGGGTGACTTTCAGAGAAAAGAGCTCACCAATGCGTTTGAAAATGCCATCCACAGTGGACTCGAAGGGCAAAACGCGTTCGTATCGAGGGTCTGTGGCAAGACTGCGACCCGGGGCAAGCGACATGAGGAAATTGTATTGTGTAATTGCATAGGGGATATCGTAGGCCTCTAGCCCTGCTGCAAAAGTAAAAGAAAAGAAACATTAGGGATTGATGACGAGAGTTCTTACGCTCCCACGCAGTTGATCAACACGAATTCAGGCTGCCATTCAACAGGTCATTACTTTGACGAGAAAATATATATATTTACTATTGTAAACCCAGTATTTCAACACTTAACAGGCTGTTCAAGAATGCATAAAGGCATTGTAAACAAGCTTATCAAATAAAGCATCTTTGTGAACGACTTACAGAGCTGTATTGACAAAGTTCAAATAGACTTTTACAAGAAGTATTTACGAAAGAAAATTTTTGCATAATACATTGATGTATACACGCGTTAATAGACGACCACTTAAAAAAGGATTTAAATCTTACTCTGCTTAGCCAATGAATTTAGTTAATTTCACTAACTAAGACATGCCTTTTCAAGTGAAAATGTACTTCTTTATAAATGAATTTTAAGTTCGCTTACGGCGAATATCTCCGAGTACTAATTTTGGTCAGAAGAGCAGCAACTTGAAAAATCTCTACTCTCTTTACCTCCGAATTAAATTAAAACAAAGAGAAAAGGCAAGACCACAGGAGTATACTACGCGATTGAAAGGTATAAACTCCACTAAAACTATTTAGATATTTAACTATTCAACAAAACATGGGCCCTGCGATAGACTTACCTCCACGTGGTGCACCCTGAGCAGCGTATACTCATATGGCAAAAAAGTCCATTAACCGGCAGTCGACTACTTTCACAGTACTCACCTCACCTTTTTACAACCTTTGTGTCTGTCTCTTTTACATCTTTGAAACACCCATCTGTCCCCCCTCCCCTCTTTCGACCTTTTTCACTTTGATGTTCCTCCTCCACTCTGTAAAGTCCGAAGCCCACTAAAGTGCTAATGATAACTAACATAAAGCCTGCTATATGTAATAAATATTCAACAAAAAACATTAAGTTATCAGCATACAATGAACCAGTATTAAAACCGTTTGTTCGCGAGCAAAGATGATGGCGAATTATTGCATAACCACAGGTACACATTGCCTCAAAGTCATAGGATATGTATACAATGGAAACAGTTTAACCTTTTAACGGCCGAATTATTTTTGAAAAATGTATACCAAGACGCACTCACACGTGTCTCACAGCACAGACTGACGTCGCCCACGTGATGAGTTTTGGTGGTCATATCGGACAAAGGCTATAGACACGTATTGAACACGCTTCAAACGGCCATGGTGACTCCTGTTACGAGTCTAGTACCAATGAAGCGTATTTTAAATCAGAACCGCACGATAGTAAAGGCATCAAATTCTCAAGAAAGGCTATAGACATGTATTGAACACACTATTCAAACTACAATGGCGCCTTCTGTTAAGAGTCTAGTACCAATGAAACGTATTTTGAAAGAGAACCGTACGGTAATGAGAACATTAAATTCTCAATAAAGGATCATGTTGCCCATTTTTCCCAAACGTTCCTCAAATTTTCTAATATTTGGAAATCGGGAACTACTTCTCAATCACCCTGAATTCTCAATTAACCTATCCTATAGCTTAATAATTATGAGATATAGAAGAATAAACCACAAATTACAACCGGTGCCACTTAAACAAAACATAACAATTTCTTTCCAATAAGGTTGCTTTGGCGGGGAAACAATTTACGTGTTAAACATTTTGAACTTTGCATCCACGTATAATCTAATTATGATGGCTTAGCCAATAGAAAATGAATGACAGAGACAGGACTCACAGGGTATACGGAGATGCGACTCCGACCATTCATTCAGAACAGTCCATTCAATAGTGCCTAATGGGAGAAGTCGCTTTCGAAGGGGTTCGAGGTAGTCATCTACAAGGGAGTCAGGATTTAAGGGGCCCCGACCAGAGTTAACAGACCGACGCCAGACAAGCGAGAGCCAATCTTTAGCACCCATTACACTGGCCACTTGAGTTCGCAAGCGACGAATTCGATCAATACGATCGTCATTGGCAGCATGCTGACCTGAGTTAGCACCAAAAACGCGTTGGCAGGCGCGTTGAACGACAGCGTGCCAGACCACACGGCGAAGCTGCAAGAGAACAAAGGAGTAATATACGTTGAGTACCATCTGAAATGTGGTCAAGATAAAAGAGCTGCAGAGTCGCGCACCACCCCTCTTGAACGTTTGCAGGAGGTCAAATATTTTGTTCTTACCACTTTTAAATGAAAATTTATTACTAATTCACCAACCTGTTTACATATGGAAGCACCACCCTAATCTTGGACAACCTACACAATTCTTAGAACATAAAAAACTAACTTATGTGTAGTTATTAAAAATAGTAGAGGTACTATCATCTAATACTTTAAATGGAAGCCTTCCATTTCTTAAAACCCCATAAAATGTTCAAAGCAATGATCTAAACAAAGACTCGTTTTCAGATATTCGGAACCAAGAGGTTCATTGGCCCATATTCTCTCCTTCTCAGAAAATTTTTTTCACAAACTCGTGTGATGTCATGGGGGGGGGAGGGGGAAAGAATAGCCTTCTTCTTGACTACGAAATGAGAAAGTAATCGAGCACACTCAGAGAGCGGAACGGCCCCAACATCAGGCTAATACAGTGGGGACTTCGAGCAACTCATCCGAATCCCGCTTTGCCCAAGGTGAGCGTTGAAACCGCTTTTCAAAATGCCCACAGGGTTATGGTTAGTGACTATGTTTCTCTTTTTTCAACTTCTACTTTCAATATCGTGTTTAACAGACCACTTTTGCCAAAATGTACTGCTATGATTAACCGGTTCAAACGCGACACAAGAATGCTAGAACTAAAAAAAATTGAAAATTCTACAATATTGTCGCTGTTATGGCACTAATTCATGACCACACAGACGAGCTAATCAAGAACAACGGGGTTCCTAAAATCCGCAAACCGACTCATCAATGTTGATGCGGATACGACAGGCGCAGACACCGATACAGAAAATTGCTGAAGCCTATGGCTAACC